AAAAGTTTTTAATAATACGATAGTAATTGCTTTGTGTCAAAACCAAATAAGTGTTGTTTTGTTGCACGTTTAAAATGTTGAGTTGAATTTAAAGTTTTTATATTGTTTGTTAAAAGCAAGTTCCATAACCGCGGCCCTCGGCAAGATATCGAAAAATCAGCTTGTTTTGATAATGTTTTTGGTATAATAAAATTATTTGTTGAGTATTTAGTTTCGTATTTGTGGTTTAAAGAAAAAAAATAAGTTTGGAAAATGCTTGGTAGCATACCATTTTTAAATTTAAACATGAAAATAAGTATATTAAGAATATTTATTTCATAGACATTAGGCACTCCAATTTCTCTTAGTAGTGGTTTGGCACTAGCGTATTTATTTGCATTTAATATCAAGCGAATTGCTCGTTTTTGTATTTTTTTTTTTTTTTTTTTTTTTTTTTTTTTGTATGTATTTAGGTGCTCCCAGAAGTCCTTACGGTCTTATCATAGAGCACCGCGGGAGAGCATTTAATAGGAAGTTCACGCCTCCTTCCGTACCAATGTCGCTGTTTGGGCTGGAGCTGGCGTCGAACCTCGGACCTCTGGGTTCTGAGCCAGTACTCTAACCACTGCGCCACGGTTGTAGATCATATTTAACTTTGAAGGATAAGTACTTGCCCAGATAATGTTGCAGTAGCTGATGTAGCTATGAATAAATGCAAAATAAATATTTTTTAAACAATTTGTGTTTAGGAGATGTTTTGTTTTATACATAATACCAATAATTTTTGATATCTTATTTTCTATTACTTTGATATGGTTACTCCAGCTAAGATGTTCATTAAGAATTACGCCTAAAAATTTGATTGAGTATTCTCGTTTAAGTTTAGTTTTATCAATTAGTAAATCAGGTAGTTTTAAGGGGAGGGTTTCAGATTTTGATAATTTTGTAAAAAGAATATATTTACTTTTTTCGACATTTAAGGAGAGTTTGTTAGCCTTAAACCATTCGTTCAGGTTTTCAAGTTCTTGATTAACAGTGTTAAATAATAGGCTAATGTTTGTGTGGCTAAAGAACACTTGCGTATCATCGGCAAAAAGGACAAAGTTAAGTATGTTAGAAGATAAGTAGATATCGTTAATATAAACGAGGAATAATAATGGACCAAGAATTGATCCTTGTGGAACCCCACAAGTAATGTCTTCAAGTCGTGTTACAGTGTTGTTATATGATAAAGCTTGTTTCCGATTATTAAGGTAAGAGCGAAACCATTTTAAATTGTTATTTCTTATTCCATAATTATATAGTTTATAAAGAAGAATTTTGTGGTCAACAGTGTCAAACGCTTTTGAGAGATCGAGGAATACCCCAAGAGTGTATTTATTGTTGTCAAACCCATTTAAAATTTCATTGACAAGTTTGGCTACAGCGTGTTCTGTTGAATGGTGTTTTTGAAAGCCATATTGGTTGTTATTTAGTAGGTGGTGGTTTACTAGATAATTGTTTAGCCTATTGTGCATTATGCGCTCTAATATTTTTGAAATGCATGGCAAAATAGAAATAGGCCTGTAGTTAGAAGCAATCGAATCGTCTCCGCTTTTAAATATAGGAACAACTTTTGCTAGCTTTAGCTATTCAGGGAACACCCCATTTTTTAAAGACAGATTACAGATATGCAGAAGGGGATATTCAATAATATCGTAGACATTTTTTACAACGTTCACGCTAATGTCATCTAGTCCTGGACTTTTGTTTTCTTGTAAGGTATTAAATGCATTTTTAAGCTCATCCGGAGTTATTTCAAGCTCGTTCATGACTGAGGCTTTTTTTTCTAGATACAGCTTATAGCATTTTTTTCCACGAGTTATTTTATTAGCTAGTTTTTCCCCAATTTTTATAAAATAGTTATTAAATTTCTCTGCAATATCTATTGCCTTATTGGCTACTGTATCATTTTCATCTGTTTTTAAGTATTGCGGGAACACTTTGGTAGCATCTTTTTTTTTTCTTGTTACCTCTTTTATTACGCCCCATGTTTTTTTAGTGTTACCCCAATAATTTTCTAATAAATTGCAGTAATAGTTTTTTTTTGAGTGTTTTTTTAATTTTTCAAATAAATTTTTGTATTGTTTATATATTTTTTCGTTTTTAAAAGTCTTTTTTTTTAAAAATTTTTCATAAAGTTTTTTTTTTTTTTTTGAAGATTTAATAAGCCCTTTTGTCATCCAAGGACTTTTAAGGTTTTTGAGTTTTGTTAATTGCTCAAGCTTGGGAAACGCTTTTTCGTACAAAGTTGTAAAAGTGTGTTTAAAAATATCGTAAGCTATGTTGGTGTCTTTGCAATTAACAACCTGATCCCAGTTTTCCATTGATAAGTTGCTTCGGAACTTTGTTATACTTTTTTCATTTATTTGCCTTTTTGTTGTAATTATTGTTTTGTTTTCTTTTTTTTTGTTGAGATTGTTAAGCAGAAGAAATATCGGAAAATGGTCACTTATGTCAGATTTTATTATTCCGCTTTGAATATTACATTTTATGGTAGTATTTGTAAATATGTTATCGATTAGGGTAGCTGTTCGGAGAGTTACTCGAGTTGGCTTATTTATTAAGGGTTCTACGCCGTGCTGTAAGAGATTATTTAAAAAGCATTTGACATTGTTATTAGTTTTTATTTTTAAAAGATCCAAGTTAGTATCTCCCATTATGTATAAGTGCTTATTTTTAGCCAGTTCTAGGTACTGAATTATATGTTTTTTAAAAGATTTTATATTGCCATCTGGTGGTCTATATAAGCCAGTAATATACGCATTTGCTTTACCTTGGTTTGTTAATTCAACCGTGAAAAGTTCACAGTTTGCGTTCAGTAAGCTTAGGCTTTCTACTTTTTTAAACTGTATTGTATTATGTATGTAGAAACATATTCCTCCGCCAGTACCTCTACTACGAGTTTGATGGAGAGCTTTATAGCCTTTTAATTGAAAATTTGAGTTTATGGTATTTTCGTCTTTGCACCATGTTTCTAAAAGGCATATTACCGTAAATTCGTGACTTATGTCTTTTAGCATTTCTTTAAAGTTTTCAAAGTTTTTGCTCATGCTGCGTATGTTTAATGTCAGCGCTGAAAAAGTATTTTGTGACGCATTTATAAAACAAGATAATTCTTCGATACTATAGTAATTAGACTTAAATGAGTCGTTTTCAAAAAAATTTTTGTCAGGGTCATTGTTATTGTTCAGAAGAAGAGTGTTTTCTTTATCAAAAATTTCAAAATATTTTGTTTCCGTCATTGTCATAATTAAAAATTTAACTGCTTAAAAAATTAAATATGAGATATATAAATATATTCATACACGTGTAAAATATAAATATAAGAAAGAAGAGTTATTTTTTTTTGATATTATTTAATTTAATAATTTTATCGTACCTTAAACCAACATTTTCACCATTACCGCGTCGTTCTTTTACTTCAGCCAGGAGTCTTTTCCTAATATTGACAGTCTCATGGGAAAAATCTTCGTTTAAGTAAATGTTTGTACCTTTTAGTCTATATGACTCTTTTAGAATTTTTGTTTTATCATTGTATCTTAACAACTTCATTATAACTGTTCTGGAGCTTCCTTCTTTTCTGGCTCCGGTTCGATGAGCTCGTTCAACTTCTATTCCATTTAGTCCCAACTTATTGACTAAAAATAGTTTAACTTTATCCTCAGTTTCATTCCATGTTTCTTTCACACTTTCTGGTAACCCGTCTATTCTTAAATTATTTCTTCTCGATCTATCTTCAAACTTTCTTAGCTTTTCATTTATATTTTGCGTTGTAATGTTTTCCTTTTCCACTCGATCATTGTTTTGTTTGTGGATAGTTGCAATTTTTTTGTCAGAAACTTCATCATGAAAATTTAAGCTCAATTTTATGTCTTCGATATCTTTTACTATTATCTTTATTTTGTTTGCACTTTCTTTAGAGTTTTCTTCAACTTTGTCAAGTCTCTCATTAATTATTTTTGTATTTGCGCTTAAGATTTCTATAAATATTTGTTGTTATGCATCCCTGCATCATCAGCATCATCTTATGCATCCCTGCATCATCAGCAACCTTGGAACGAGTATTTTTAACTGCTGGAAATGTTCTAACGGAAAGAAGAAATAGCCTTAGCATAGTCAATATTGAAATGATGGTTTTCATGAAAGAAAACTTGAAGGAGATAGAAAATATTACCTGGCCGATGTTTGAAGAAGATATCAATAAAAAATAAGAAAATATGTACAAAAAATATACTTTGTTATACATAATGAATAATTTTTTTTCATTGTTATTTTTAATTAAAATTTTTCAATTATTCTGAAAAGTTGATAATATTACCATCAGGTGGCCTGCGGCAAGTATACAGGGACGTATCGAAGAGAATTTAAAAGGAGGTGGGGGGGGGGGTGAAGTTTGTTTTTTTGCCGACTAAAATACAAAATTGAAATAGTTAAGGTCAAAAAGAAAAAAAAGGTCCTCGGTTTTTGATATTTGCCGACTGAAGGTCTAAGTTGGCTGGCTAGTCACATTTTTGTCAACTGATAAAAATGGTCGGGGGGTTACTAACCCCTACGCCCCCACCCCCTAAGGATGTCCCTGCAAGTATATATAATCTATGCCACATTGCCGTAGTGGGTGTTTAATAATATTTTTATATATTTTTTCATTATCTTGTGATCTACATTATAGATCACAGGAAAATGAAAAAATAAAAAATAATTATTATACACCCTCTCACTGTTCTCCAAATTGACCGCCAGGTTAAAACTTTCCCCACTCCTGATTTTTTTGCATTTAATTAATCATATGCATTAGTAAACACAATTTAAGTTGTCAGAAAAATCTGAACTAAGTGCTAAGTACATATTTTTCAAAATTATAACTTATAATTTTTCGCTTTTTGATTAAAGTCAGCCATTATGGTGGTCAAAATAAACCATCAACATTTATTAACTTCGTTTACAAAAAACACATATAACAAATAAATATATAACACATATTATATTAATGCTACTGATTATTTAAATTAAAATTAACTACAGCAGATTTTAGCTTTTTTCCATAATTTTTGTGACCTATAGTTCTTTTATAGTTCACCCAAGTTTTTTTAAATTTGTGGTGAACAGCTTCACCACATTTTTCTGCATAGTTTCCTAAGCTAATATAATTGTGTTCTATAAAGGGAAGAATATGACACACTAAAATATGTATTTTCCAGGAAACTTTCAAATCATAGTCAAAAATATCTTTTGCATATAATTGGAGACTTGAAAAAGAACATTTGAAGTCTTTGATTTTAGCAGAAATATCTGCACCCATTTCTAAACCAAACACTGCTGATTTTACTTATGAAAACTTACGCAAACAATTAATTATTGGTAAAATATCAATCGCTGCAGTTAAGGTAACATCCCTCTCCAAAACATCTAACAAGGACATAAATTTATTAGCATTGTTTCCATCTAAACCTACTCCATGGTATCCTCTCATTAATATGTAATGTGTTTTTAACCAATTTTGAAAAGGTGGCCAAACGCATAAAAGCATAGTACAAAGTTTATCCACAACTCCCATCATAATATGGAGCTCAGGAGGAGGAACAATGTGTTCAAGAATTGTTTCTTGATTTTCTTTTAAGTATATTAAACGATGATTTATAACATTTTTGTAATCCTGCATTTTTAGTCTTTTTTTTCCTTCACATACATATTGATCATAACATAAGTCTATGGAACCCAATGTTCTTAGTTTCCCTGCTTTGAGGGAGCATTCTCCTTCACAATAAAGACAAGCATATTTGCCAGAATGACTTGAAAGTCCAAAAACACTGTTTGCACATTTTAAATCAAATGCTAAACTAAAATCTACTTCTTCGAGTTTCAAAGGTTCCAATAATTTTCGGAGATTGCCATTATCCTCTGAAACCATCTCCACAATCGCAAAGATAAAACAACGTTTCACACCAGAATCTTCATACATTTCGGATGAAGAATAATGATTTTTTGGATCAAAAACATTAATAATAACTTTAAGGAAGTTTTGACCACCATCTATAGATATTCTTGCTATTGCATTAGGGGTATCAATACCTCTTTCATCAATTATAAATTTGATAAATTCAGTTGTATTCTTGACATAAACTATATCTCTAACAACTATTTCATCACCGTCAAGGAATTCTTCAGTTTTACATTCATATAAAGTTTCTAGAGTATCCTGTAATTCAGTCATTTTAATATTAATGTTTGATTCTACACCAGTTAGATTACTGCGTAAAGTAGAACACAGTTTTTTAGTTTTGTTCTTAGAGAGTTCTAATACATTCGATAACTCCATAATAGTTTGGAATGAAACTTGATTTACTTTCTTTCTTTTCGACTTATTTTCATTTACTCCAACTGTAACAGAGAGAAGATTTCCACCAGTAGACAACACGAACTGCTTTCCACTTACAATGTTTTCACGTTCCATTTTACGTTTTAATAATCCAGAAGCTACTTGCTCTGCACCTTTATATCCAAGCGATTCACTAATATCAATTATATTGTTAACAGCTTTACTTTTGCAACAATCATGAGAAATTCCTCTACCTAAAAGTAATAGTGAGAAATTAAAAAACTATTTTAACAGTAGCTTGAAATTACGTAAAAAACAATAATACATTGAATCAAACTATAATGTAACATAAAGAGAATCAAACTTCAATTAATCTTATTTAAATTATAAAATCATAGTATTAACATACCAAAATTCAAATAGCAGAGCCCACAGATTTTCTTATTCACACTTGAAAAATTCAATTCTGGCTCAACATCTGTCTGGATACATTTATATTTATCTAAAATACAAATGTGCTTTATAAATTAAATCAGTGCTAATATATTTATTCATAAAAACTACATGATTTTTATTTTATATATATATATATATATATATATATATATATATATATATATATATATATATATATATATATATATATATATATATATATATATATATACATAAATATATATATACATAAATATATATACATAAATATATATATACATACATATAAATATATATATATATATATATATATATATATATATATATATATATATATATATATATATATATATATATATATATATATGTATGTATATATGAGTGTGTGTGTATACTTATAACCAGTTGGAAAGATATGCAGTCTCCCCTTTGTTTAGACTAAATAAGTTTCTTCTGCAGTTGGAACAAACTACAGAAGGACAAATTTCAAGATCAGAATCGAAGTTTGGCCAGATGTATTCTTGAATTTTTTCGCGCACTGAAGGTGTTATAGGTGTTAAAGATTTTGATTTGATACCTTTATTTATCAAGCAAACTGCACAAGTACATAATTTGAAGTCTGACGCCATGTTGAAAAGTGAAAGTTATATCCGTAATTCAATTATATCATTGCCATAAATAGCTTATTTGACTACCATAATGGCTGACTTTAATTAAACTTACGAAAAAAAAAAAGAAAAAAATTATAAGTTTTAACTTTAAAAATATACATACTTAGCACTTAGTTCAGATTTTTCTGACAACTTAAATTGTGTTTGCTAATGCATATGATTAATTAAATGCTAAAAAAATTTAAAGTGGGGAGAGTTTCAACCTGGCGGTCAATTTGGAGAACAGTGCTCTTCGGCGATGTGGCGTAACTAAATCATAAAAATGTTGTAGATTTATAGTGACTAATAGACTAGTGACTAATATCCTAGTTAAATGAAACGTCTTCTTTTTTTAACGAGTATATTCGTTACTACTTATTTGCTGAACGATTATTTTATTCGTACAACGAATAAGCGGGAACGAATATATTTGTTTAACGAATATTCGTTAAGCAATTATTTTTGAACAGTTATTATTTGTTCAGTATTTGTTTAAAGAATAAAATGAAAACGAACGAATATTCGTAACCGTTTAACGAATAAGCTTAAAAAATCTCGTTTCTCAAATAACCGTCGCGCTCTAGTTGCATTGTAGTCAAAAACTGATTTTTCAAAACAATTGGCATTGGCCGATGGTTACCAGGACCGATGGCGATGCATTGGCTAAATAGTCAATGCATAGGTGTACTACTTTTATTACATTTTGGTACTTCTAAAACTTTTTTTACATTAATGAAACAAAATATTATGTATTTAAATGTTTCATCCAAAAAAAATTAGAAATAAAAATATTTTCAGCTGAAATATAGGGTTTCAGGCATAAGTGTCTCGTTAAGCCCCACTACCATACCCGATATGCCCTACTCTACCGACTACTTTATGTCGATATGCCTTGCTCTACCCTAAAAAGCTTCAAAACGGTATTTTAAAAAATTATCAAAACCGAACAAGTATACTCTTCATTAAAAGGTGTAAAATTACACCGTTTTAGCATAGGCGCGTTTGCCATAAGGCAAATCTAGGCAATTACATAGGGGCTCTAACCAAAAAAGGACGTCTAATTTTTTACTTCCAATGAATAACTTTTACAGAAATTTTTTTAAATTTAATTATTTATCACATAATTGTAATTATTTTTGAATTCAATTTTTAAAACTATTTCTAAGTTTAGTTTAGAATAAACAACAAATATTTTTACTTATTTAGTAATTTTTTAATAATTTTTAGCGATAGCTAGTATTTATGCGAAAAAGATTTGTACGAAAACCAACGTTGCCTAACATAATTGTCGTTATGTTGCGTAATAGAAAGTACTGACTTCTATTATTAGTTATACAGTATATTTGTGCTAAATCAAGTTAACAAAAACAACAGATAATTAAACGTTCTATAGCATCGAAAAACTGTATCTAATCTGTGCGATGTTATTTTTAGATATTTAAAATTTTACGTTGAATAAAACTCTAATTTTGCTTTGATGTTGATTCCGCATCGCAATTCGACGTAAACTTCCTTTGTTGAATTCTTATGTTAAAGCGATGTTGATTTTACGTTGGCAACGTCGCTAACCTAAAACTAACATCGCACCGACTTGAGAATAACGTCGGTGTCCAATGGGTTAGAAGACTCTTAGAATTAAATGTTTATAGAAAAAAAATATAAAATTTTAATGTTTATGAACTAAGTTTTTCGTTGATTTCTCCAAATCAATTTACTCGGACTCTGCGCGTTTTGGAAAAGGGCTCCTCATATAAGAATCCAAAAAAATAAAAAAATAATCGATATCACAAAAATAATAATCGATATCACAAAAATTCATATTCAATATCACATATTAAAAACATTAAAATACAATTTGTAATAAGCCTTATAAAATTAAAAAAAAAAAAATTCTTGTATTTATTATTATTTATTAATTTTACATCTACAAGAAGAAAAAAAGCTTTTTTTTTTTTATAAAATTTAATTTAAGAAAAAAGATTTTATTATAAAAACATAAATTATGAATAAAAAAAATGAATAACTCATATATCATATAAATTATTTTTATCATTTGTTAATAAATTTCACTCAATTTTAAATTATTATTATTCACTTAGTAATTGATCCACTTTTCCTGCAACTGTTTTACAACCTGTTGCTGAAAACCATGATGTTTCATCCGGAAAATAATGAAGTTCATCAGCAATGGCTTCCAAAGTGGAATTTGCAAAACTGTAATTTTTTTTTTTTATATCTGCTTCTGCACATTGTTTGACATGTTTCCTCTCCAAAGGAAGAAAAGGAACATAAACGTTTATCAATGCCCTTTTAATGATGTTTGAATCCTTAAATCCACCCTGTGAATTTAAAGCAATAATAGCTATATGTTTTTCTAAATCTTTACTGACAATTGACTCCCTAGACCTATTATTTACATATTGTCTAACAATATAATTGTTAATCATGTCACCAGCAACATTGCTAAGAAAAATAAATATATTTTTGCGATAATCTCGACCATCTACTGCAGCGTGGTAGTCTAAAAAAGGAGTCATAACGTCGGAAAGACCCTCTGGCATGAAATGAAACTCATCAAAAACGAATAACATGCGATGACATTGCTCTGAATTTTTCTGAATAAGCTCAATTAATTCATCTTTGTATTCATTTGAATTATTCTTATTTTTAAAAAGTATTGTTGCAACTTTAAATTGATAAAACTTACTATTTATACCTTTTTTAAATAAAGAATTGGCAACAATCTGTGAAACAAAAGTTTTACCAGTTCCAGTCCATCCATGAAAAGACATGACCAAAGGTGATTTTGGATCTTTATTTTTAATATGAGACTTAACAGCTTTACTAATAAGTTTATTGGCTAAGTGCTGGCCAAACACTTTTTCATTCAATTCTTTTTCCAAACCTGAAAGATCCTGAATCAACCATTGATCATTGCAGCATTCATTATTCTTACAGAAATCTAAAAATTAAGTAACAGTAAAACATTTTCAAATTTGAAAATAAAATGTTTTTAAAATAACTTCAATATTAAATCAATATTTTATGTCTTATAAACATAGGCACAGTCTTAAAAGATTTTCAAAAGCTTAAACTACAAGAAACCTGAATTTATGTCACAAGGGCCCCAGCCAGGGGCGTTTCTACGAATAAAATGAGGGTGATGAAAAAAGTACCAACTGGTTCATTAAAAAAAAGAAAAACGAAGGTCCTCAAAAATAAAATCCCCCGACTGAATCGTGTTAAATACACGACTAGCCGACTAAACTCATCAAAAAACCGAAAATAACTTGAAAGTCACCTTCATTAGAGGGAAAGGGGTGGTGAAACACACCCCCACCTAAAATCGCCTCTGACCAGCCTTTACTTAATAAATATTTTTAAACCCTGATCTATGCTGTAAAAAACTATTTACAGAATCATAAGCCGGAGCAAGTATACTTTTTAATGATCCATTTTTACTGTGTTTTATCTATTTTTGCTTGAAATTATATTTTTGATCAAAAGTATTTCCGTAAAATCGACTAAGTTCAGTCATTCATTTATGCCTGAGATATGAATGTTCAAAACTTAGATAGCTTTGAACATTCATATCTCAAGCATAAATGAACGTTTTGTCAGTTATTTTTTGAGTTATAAAGAAAGATTTATAGGTAATTTATTTTTATTGTAAAAATAAAAATAAATCTTATATTAGGGAATAACTATTATATTAGGGAAGTATAGGTAGAAATTAAAAAAAAAAAAATCAAAAAGGTAAAAAAAAAATCTAAACAATTGGCATTGGCCGATGGTTACCAGGACCGATGGCGATGCATTGGCTAACTAGTCAATGCATAGGTGTACTACTTTTATTACATTGTGGTACTTCTAAAACTTTTTTTAAATATTAAAACAAAATATTATGTATTTAAATGTTTCACCGAAAAAAATTTAGAAATAAAAATATTTTCAGCTGAGATATAGGGTTTCAGGCATAAGTGTCCCGTTATGCCCCACTACCATACCCGATATGCCCTACTCTACCGACTACTTTATGCCGATACGCCCTGCTCTACCCTAAAAAACTTCAAAACGGTATTTTAAAAAATTATCAAAACAAAGTATACTCTTCATTAAAATTTTGATCTGCAAGTATATGGATTTCCATATATGGATAACGAGGCACAGGCTTCAATATTTTGTAGCGGAATCTTGCCATACATTTTTCACTACCTTTCATACTAGCTGGAGCGATGAAAATTTTGGTATTTATGTAGTGTCAATAAACGTGCATTTTAAAATTAAAAAAGGGCCCAAGACACAAGGGAAGGGGACTGGAGGTACGTGCTCCACTTTTTTGACCGGAATCTTGAGATGGATTTTTCAGTATTTTCCAGACAAGCTGGAGCTTTGAAACTTTCAGCATTTGCGTAGTTCTGATGAACATGCGTTAAAAAATTTTCAGGTCAGACGACCAGAAGGTCTATGGGGCTGGGGCACCGGGACCATGTCCAACTTATTTTCTCAAAAAAATTTTTTTTTTTTTAAAGCACATAAATGTCTTAAATTTAAGATAACTTTAAAATATTGTATTCAAAAATTTTATTGCTTTATACTTGTTCCGTTTTACTTCATTATTTACAAAATAAAATACAAAAAAAAGACAAATTTTCAAAATAGTGTTAAGATTAGCTTAGATGCATTTACGGTCGAAGTATACAAACGTCCATTTGTTGTTACAGGTGCATCAATTATACAAGTTATGTTGGTAATTGGAACCCAACACTCATCAACTCTAGATGGCCAGAAAAGTTTATTAAAAGAACCGTGCGGGTGCATAAACGTTACCATAACATCTTGCTCTATATTATCAATTTCATTGATCATACCAATCCAATCAAACGCATCATATTTGAATCACACATAATGAATCCACCAAATTTCAAGGCATCAATGTTAATTTGCTGATCATTGTGAGAACTTTAAATACCAGAAAAAGAAAAAATGCCTGTTAAATGAACATCTTCACTTGTTCGTTTAAAGCTAATAGTATCTATAGATTCTGGTTTAAATTGATGATAGCTCCTAGTACCAGGAATTGTTCTACTTAGCTCAAAATGTGTTTTCAAAGTGATGCGCAATTCTGTCAGTCTTTTTCAATCTTGAAAAAAATAATACCTTTAATATTGTTAGTACAGTAGTCAAGCATTTTGTTACAATTCATTATCTGGTCATTTATGGGCCTTTGTAGACTTGTATTTGTAGTTAATCGTTTTACAGTGGCACCAATACCATCACATGATGACTTACCATGATTTGTTGCAAAAAAATGTCCACTCTGCATCAATGTCAAAATCATTTTTATGGAGACAGATATTGTAAAGGTTTTTGTGATTTTTATACTGCTGCAGCACAGCCATCAAAAAAATAAAGAATCTTTGAAATATTAGGATGATATTCTTTTAAATAGTTAACTATTTGTGTTTGAACTTCATACACAAAACCAGTGTCATGCTCATTATCTTCTGACATAAAGCAAAACGATTTTTTTTCAAGTTGGTCATTTCACTTTTGTTATTCAAGATGAAATCCAAAGTTACCAATGATAACTTTGGATTTCATCTTGAATAAAAAAAGTGAAGTTTTCTGCAAAGTCACCTAAGACAATACAACAGTCTTTTGCTAAATTTTCCTTTTGTTGCTTTAGGTATCTTGCTTGACATTTAGCAATGTAGGAATGAGCTGTTAACTTGTTTATCGCCTCTGATAACATCAATTTGTATTCTTATGTCCAATAACTTCTTGAGAATATTTAGTTTTAAAAGAAACATAAAGTTCTTTAAGATTACATAAAATAAGACGCTTTTGCATGTGTTGTTTTCTACCAATACTTACATAATCTTTTTTACCAGGTATTTGTCTAGTAAATTCTTCATCATGGTATATATTGTTGACTCTATTTAATGTTATTTCTGAAAATGTTTTTCCTTTCTTAGTGCCTGGAACTGAAAAATTTGCACTTATTTTCTTTAGTTTGTGCGCTTCTTTAATTTGGTATTTAGTGACGTCGAAATATCTTGCAGTAAAATTTCTTGACCAAGACTCGGGTGTAAATGTTAACAACTGAATTTTAGTTTTTTGGTCAGAAAAAATTAACTTTTCTTTTATTTCTGTTGTTAGTTTGACTAGATTATTGCATTTACTTTTGTCAATAATTTTTGTATGAGGAATTTTATGTTTCAGTTCTTCTTCCCTAACATTATATACTTTTGAAATATGCTCTTCATACTTTGAAATTGTTTTTATAACTTTACTTTTAGCAACAGATAACCGTTGATGCTTTGGAATGTCATGAAGTTTTATGGGGAATACACCTATTGTCTCCAAACTAACATTTAATGCCTCTTGTGACTTTTCAGAAGTAGCATATGAAATAAATTCCTCAAATTCAATTATCTTGTTCATGAAATTTACTGATTATAGCATCAAAGCAGCTCTGACAAAGTTGATATCCAGGCACAACATTTGGAAAATTAATTCTCAATTGTTTTGCCATGTCTAATGTTATTACATGACTCCCTGAAATGAAAAGAACAATTTGATTTTAGTAATTACCTATGAAGATGAAAATTATTTCAATAATGCATAACCAACTTTTTTTCAAACTTTTATAAACTAGTAGATTTTAATTTCATTATTCAAAAAAGATTTTACAATAATTTTTTATCAACAATATTTACCTTTGATTGCATTTCTTTTTGATTTATGCTTGTCCAATAAATTACAACATTTTGTGTGCTTCTTTTCAAAGTGTGTACCAAAAATCTTTTCATGATGAAGACAGATTGTTAAAATTTTATCATCTGTTATTCCAGATCTCCAAATAAATTCTTCTCTGGCATTTTTTCTATAGCAATCAAACTTCTTTAAATCAATCTTTCTACAATAACTTAGTTTATGACAAGTATCATTTAACTTTTTTATAAAAATCATATGAATCCATTCTTACTGTAACACTAAAAACATTTTGAGATTAATTTAAAAATGAGAAACCAATAGTAATTAATTTAATGAAAGCAACTTAAGCAATCACCATGGTAATAAAAAACTAAACAGTGATTGATTTCTTTTATCTTACTTTGACAAAAAGAAAGTTTCCTTTTCACAAAGTTTAATTATAATCAATTCGTTAATGTTAAAAATGTTAATGATGACTATAACAAATTTCTTCTATAGTGTACTGACAGAATGTTTATTGTTACTCTGAATAGTTCTTATTTATTAAAACAACTTTCTGTTAACATTTTAGAATTAGCAAATATCAAATAAAATAATGATTTTGAAAAGGTGATAAATTTCTTTTTTATTGATTTAATGTTATGACAGGATGTTTTTTTTTCTGTTGGAAGTTAATTAAACAACTTGCTGTCACCATTTTAGCATTAAAATATATTTATCTATTTTAATTAAAATTTTAATTTATACAAAATAAAAATCTGTTAAAATCATTATTTTAAACTGTTTTTAATCTTATACATGCAAATCAAAATTCTTATAAACATTAACTTTCTTAAAACATTTTAAGAAAGATAGAACATGGAATGATCAAAAACCAAATGGAACAAATATAAATCACAAAAATTTGTGAAGCAATGTTATCAAAGATATGTTTAACGTTGTTAAAAATTAAAATCTAAAAAAAAATTTTGAAGACAATAGTTTCAAAGTTATCTTAAATGTGTTAAAAAAAATTAAAATTTTTAAGAAAATAAGTGGGACATGGTCCCTGGTGCCCCAGCCCCATGGACCTTCTGGTCGTCTGGCCTGAAACAATTTTAACGCATGTTCATCAGGACTACACAAATGCTGAAAGTTTCAAAGCTCCAGCTTGTCTGCAAAATACTGAAAAATCCATCTAAAGATTTCGATCAAAAAAGTGGGGCACATACTTCCAGCCCCCTCCCCTTGTCTTGGACCCTT